AGAATGGCATTATATAGAGCACAAAGATGGGGAAATTCGCTTCCCTGGCTGTTGACCCACAGGATCTCCGCTTGCTAGCGAGGAAGATGGAAAGCGCTGCTGTCTGGCTGTATTGAGCGCTCCCTGACTACTCGCCTCATTCCAAACAGGGCAGCCAGAGTTAATCGGCGAAAGAGCAGCGCAGCCTGCTGCTGGGGAGAAAATAAATAAACCCTGCTATTTGCAAATGGTTCTCGCGGTCACAGTGCAGAACTCCTGAAAAGCCAGCCTGAAAGAAGTCACCTTACAGAAGCCTATGTCCTAGCAGCTGATCCATGATATCTATGCTGCTCTGAAGGGACAAGGTAGACTCAGATCCGTTACGATCTCTAATGACATCTTCAACAGCCTTCTCAGGAACTGATAACAGTGCTCACTTATCACGACCCTTGGAAAATTTTCTTCCTAAGCTGAATGTCCCTATTGGTATCCGTTTCTGTTATTTCTTGCCATAGCTGTTACGAACCTGAAGAATGGATAACCCCTGTAATGTTTTTGAGGAGCAGATATCATGTATTTTCTGAAGTTTTTCTTCTCTAGACTAATTAACTCTAATTTAATCAGTCTTTCTTTATAGCTTATGTTTGTTTTTCTCCAAAACCTCCTGTCACTGCATCATTCTTGATGCACAGCCCCAAAAGCGAAGGCAGAAATTCCTCTGAGGCTTTGTCAATGCTGAGAAAGGTAGGGGGTTACTTCACATGTCTTGCAAGCTAACTTCTGTTCACACGTCTTGCTGTACGCAGTGTGTGTGTTCTTCACGACAGCATGCCATCATTGTGCCACTACAAGCCCAGACGATCATCCTGAGGGATGCTACCCAGCTGGTCGCTCCTCATCCACTAAGTGTGTCATTGACTACTTCTGCTGAAGTGCCTTTGACATACCCACATTAAAATTATCTTTTTTGGTGGCAAGTACTCAAAGTTTTCAAGATTGTTTCAAAGTTAATCCTGCCCTCCATTGTACTTGCAATCTTTTCAGCTTTATATGATCTGCTAATTTAATAGCACACTATTTCATTATCCTGGCCAATGAACATATGGGATAGTACTATGTTCAAAACAGAGGTCCAAGAAAGACCATTTTTTGTACATTCTTCCACTGAGGGAGTGAGGTACTTTTAATTACTTTCTGAACAAGGCCACCCAGCAGTTTTGTCCTGCCCTGTAGAAGCTTAATCAATGTCACATATCTCTCAGACATTACATTACCACTGAGATGGTGCCAGCTAAAACACCCACTACTTCTTCTGTGTCTACATGCCATTATCCCATCATCAAAGAATGCTAGATTGATCTGACACTGTTTCTCCTTAATAAATCCAGTGAGGCTCTTATTTATTTACTCTAAATAAAGTTACTTATTTACTTTTGAAAGGTGCTTTTATAAAGTTTTATTAACAGTTGCAGGATTTTTCTAGGAATTTATGCTTAACTGACTGATCTACAATTTCTCAAATTTCCTTTCTTCACCATGTTGAAGAGAGGTGAATACAGCAGTTCCCTCCTGTCCTTCAGTGTCTCCCTTGCTTTCTGCATCCTTCAGGGCAGCTTCTGCCTTTCCTGAGGTTGCTTCAGATACTTCTGGATGAAGTCACCTTTGCTAGAGAACTGGACGATTTGCAAAGACATTTTAAGGGCTGTGTCATAATTTGGGGTGGTATGGAACAAAACCTTTAAGAACTAATCAGAAATACTAGAAAAATAAAGAACATGATCTATGTTATGATGAAACATTAACACCAGTGTCTACAGCAACCAGTGTTACTGCACTGTCTTTGGGTACCTAAACACTAACTCCAGTAAAGCTTTGCTTGCCCTGTGAAACGGGCAGTATTTTCCTGATTTAACACATGGGGAAAGTCAAAGACCTGAGTATCTGAAGAGCTCATTCATACTTCATTTTTGAGAGAAATATACACAGCATCTTGTTTTCAGGATGCCCCACTGAAATTGTCAGGCTGCACCTAGCAAAAGGGTTTCTAAGTCTTGTCCTGAATAAATCCCTTAAGCCATACTGCCAGTCAGTAACAAACACAGAAACAAAAAACAGACCTAGCATCCAGCGCCCAAACCAGTGAGCAGAGGAAAAACTCACTGTCTTTACATGAGGAAAAAGCAGAAGAACGTATCACATGCAAAGTGTACAAGAGGCCCAGAGGAAAGGCCTGAGCTGATTTCACAACACGCAAAATTTCCAGCCTGGGGAGGCAGGAAACACTGATGGAAAAAAGAGACTGACAGATGTCAGGAAAGTTCTTCTAGTGACAAGGCCTAAGAAAGACCTCCTATCTATTTAAGAGCAGGTTGGAGGTGGTTAGGAACCACTTAGGTATACTACATCTAATCAAGTAGCCAGAAGGATTATCACCAGGTCCTTTCCCCCTCTGTTCCATAACTCTAAAAGGCAGCAGTATTAAATCCCGTTTTAGGCGGGAGCACTTCCTGGATGCTTTATTTTTATACCAAGTCAATCATGAAAAGACCTTCTCTGAATGAAGCAGCCCAATTTTTCAAGAAGACACAATAAAAATGATGCAACTTTTTCTATAGTTACTGAGGCTGATTAAAACTTCTGTCTACATGTTTTCTAACGCAATTAAGTTTCCCGTAAAGCAGTCACCTTCTTTTTTAGACAAGTAATAAACTGAAAGCAGAAATGTTTTGACCAACCCCCCCGCTACGAGACATCTGAATTGTTCAGCCTGCTGTGGCTCCTCACTGGATGTGTACCCTCCTCTCCTCCAACCCTATTCTGTACTGGCACAGAGGCACCTACTCAAAATACACTCCCCAGGATGCTCTAAGGGCAGAGGAGTCCCTTGAAGCATCCAGCTGCTTTCCCAGTATGACCGGAATATACTGGGGCAGATGGTGCCTACCCAGGGAGTGTCGCTAGCAAGGGGAACAGAAGAAGGAACCAACCAAGTTGTAGCGCTTTCAGTGGAGGTACCAGAGCTGCATTTTGTTCTCCTGTCACACCACTTCTACTTATGTCTTCAAGAACTGCAATACTTTCAGTGGAAAAGCTTAATGGAAAATATTTTCTTGGTTTTGTGACCGAAAGAGCATCTAATATCTGACTGGCTTTGGCTACTAACGTAGCAATCTCAATCATGCAGGCGGTACACACAGAGGAGTGATCAGAAATGACTACCCAATCTGCAGCCACCTCATTTCCCTCAGAAAAGAGAGGCAAATAACTTTGAAAGATCTAACGTGCTTGAAAAAGTCCATTTCTTCAAGAAAATCTCTGATACATTTGGCAGTGGGCCTTTCTCACATCAAAAATGCTGCCTCGATCTATAAGGCCAAGAAGACAGAGAGGAAGTTCTCATGGCTCCCTCCCAATGCCTTCTGAGATGGCAAACTGAGCTGGCAGGGCCTGGGGTCGAGCTGTTGTGAGGAAATCACAGTCTCCTGCCGACAGATGAAGCTGATCTCGGCTTAATTTCTGCTCCTAAGAGGGCTAGTCACCGAATCATCCACAAGAATCACTGAACAAACATGCTGGGGAGATGCTTGGTTGTCCCAGCAACGGGGCTGGCACGGCTCTCCTCCAAAAGCACGATTTATGGCGTGCAAGGCAACTTCAGCGCAACGTGCAGCCGCTTCAGGAATTCAGAGCCTCGCTGGGTGAATAGGATGGAAAGGGCAGACAACTCTCACACCCGGCATCTAAAAAACACCCAGTGTAAAAGACCTGCAGGTGAGCACGCTCACCGCCTGTCCCCTGCCACCAAAACCATAGCTGCCGAAAGATCTCTCCATTAAAAACCGCAACTTCCCCCTCGCTCTGGCAGGTGTCGCTCTCATTTTCCGGCTGGCGGCCGATTCCCGGCAGGGGCTGCGCAAGCCTCACCGCCCCAGTTTCACTCTGCTTTCAGTTCACCCTGCCTTGCCGGTGATGAAGTCTGTGGGGGCACTGTGGACGGCTCAGAAGTGAGGCAAAAAACCTGTTTTTATCAAGCTTAGGATTATTATTTCCAATCATGTTCCTTGAGCCAGAGCGAAAATAATTCTGGGCTGAAAGGAAATATTTCCTTCTGAAGGATGGAGAACCATGACAGGGTTTATGTTTACTGCACAAAAGTGCCCTGAAAAGCTAAAAGCACACAAAATAAAATGTTTGATCATAATGCATAAGACACATCCATCATTTAACATTTGCTCATGTGAAAAATAAAAGCTATAACATTTCTAGGTATACATGGTTCTTGTGTCAAGGGCATTTCTGGTGCGGAGACACCCACAGCTCACATGATTCACTTTGGTGTTACTGGTCCTGCTTCAGGAATCAGTCACCTGAGGCTACAGGATACCTCCAGCTATAGCTGCTGCTGAGATCACCGCAGTCAGCAAAGTCACACGAGAGGGGGTTGCCAAAACGCACTCTCCCCACTTTAGTATGGGTCCTGCAGACGCGTGCGCTCACAAAAAAGGAAAGGAGGGAACAGCTCTCGCAACTTGGTTACCCAGACAGGACCACCCAGACCACAAAGCGCTCTGGCCCAAATATAGACCGATTATTCTGAAGAATAGTTTCCCAGGCAACGAAATCAATGAGGAGCCCCTGGAGGAGTCTGAAGGAAACCATGCTTCCTGCAGTTCAGCAAAACGTGCCATGAACCCTAACAAACGCTAGGACCCCATAACACCTTGTTTCCAGGTCCTAGACCTATGGACGCTAAAGCCAGCTTCTCAGACGCCATTCCCTGCAGAGCAAAAACATGAACTTTGGGAAGCAGCCACTCAAAAACAAAATCATAAAACAACTCCAGACCCCATGCTGGCCTTGCAAAGCCTTCAGCAATTATTTCGCCAAAGACTACGAGTGTTTTGCAGTACAGCTGTTGAAACAGAAAAAGGAGCGATTTACGATGTGCACAGTACTTCTCAGCTCACCGGTGGAGTAACAAATGAACTGGTCCAGCAGGCAAACAAAACCTGAATACGTACCGACGCAGGTCTGTCCTTTGTACAGCCCGGTGGGGAGCGAAGAGGGTGGTGGGTCGCTTCCACCAGGGAGAGGGGAGGAAGAGGCAGCCTTCAGCAGAAGCGGGAGCCAGAGGATGCAGAATAAACTGAGGAATGTTTGCCTAGACCCTCTCATCCTAAGGAAAGAAAAAAGGGAAGAAGTCAGGTGGGAAGGGTGCACGTGGACCTGTGTTCCCTTCATGCTCAGGGAGCATCCTGCATCCCGGTCTCATTAGCAGCTTGAGGTGGCAGGAGGCTCGCGCGCCTGCGTAGCTATATATAACGCAGGGACCGCTTCCCGGGTGGGGACACACGTCTGCCCACTGATGGGGTGCACGGAGGACCCCGCACTCGTGCACCACAGGTCCTCTTCTGTCCACTGCCCTTCGCACCCCCCTCAGCCCCTCTCAGGCCATTTGGGGTGGCTGTGCAGCCACCCACCGCAGCTCGGCGAGTCCCACACGTGGGCACCCTGTGGTGACCGGGCTGGGGGGAAGTCCCCGTAGCCCTGGGCCACTCCCTGCACCCCCCTATTCCCCCGGCCCCCCATTTGCGGCTCTTCCCAACCTGCTGGCCTGGGAGGACCGAGAGGGTTGCACGCACAGCTCTGGCTCAGTGCTCCCGCGTCTCCCACGGCAGCAAGCGGATGACTAACGACCTTAAACCGCAGCAGCTGCTGCAGCCACTCAGCATTAATAACGCAAGACACTCCCCTGAACAATGAGTGTTGCAAAAAGAACAAAAAAAAAGAATAAAAAAAAATAAAACCCAACTCCACAAACACTTCCCCCCCTCGACGTCGCTCCTCTGCCCTCCTCTGCAGACATGAAATAAAAAATACATGTCTCTGGCTGCTTCTGTGAGATTTTCGACCAGCGTTTCCGTCCGGGAGGAGCGGGCGTGAAAAATAAGAGGAAGAGGTCGCCGGAGCCGTGGCTGGTGGGAGGGATGGGGCTCCCACGCTGGCGTTGCGCTGGGGCTTTGGCTTCTGCCAGGGTCGAGCCGGGGGGACGGGAGGCAGCAGCTGAACGTCTGCTCTCATCAGCTTTGAGCGCGTTCGTTCGCAGCCCTCAGCTGCCTGCAAGGCTTGAAAAACCCTGAGCTTCCCCTGCTTTTGGCAATTACAGCAGCTAAAGGATTCCCCGTCTCTTTTCGTTTTTTTATTCCCCCAGATAAGGCAGAAACCAGTGGTTCCCCAGCCTGCAGCAAAAACGAAGAAAAAAACATGTTTAAATGACGTCGCTTCAGAGGTGCAACAAGTCCAGACAGCTAAATCCCAGACACTGCGGATGCAAGGATGGCTATAAGGGAATGCTGTAGGGCTGAGGCACTGGAGGGCCAAAGCTGCGCCCCACCTCAGCCTCTGCCTTTTTGTCTAACCCTGGGCAAGCCTCTTACCTCCCTCAGTGGGCCGTGGGTACTCGGTTTTCCTTTCCACTCCCTGCCTAGCCCTTTCAGAAGCGGGCAGGCTGTCGCCATGGGTTGCTAAAGGGCAATGAGAAGCCTGTCCCGTTTGGCATCCCTGCATGCTTCCTGGGCTTAATTAAAGGAGACTCCTAAACAGAGTTGTAAAAGGAAAAATAGAGAATATATTAAAATCAGTGATTTTCTGCCAAATCTTCAGACATTTCTGAAGACCAACATGACCACACAAGGATCAGGTCAGCTTTACTATTTAATGCAGATTTTGCAAACCACTTCTTCTCCATGGGAGCCTGACCTACGACATTTTTAAGGACAGTCCCAGAAAGTTTTTCTCAACTTTGATAAGCAGGATATACCTTGTGATAATGATAATATAATCCAGGGGCTCTGGGG